ACAGATAAATTACTCAAAGCAAACTTCAAATTTGCATTATTATTTTTTTTTAAGTAAACTTCTGTGTAAATATAACAAGACAAAGTAACACATCTCACATGAACCTGTATTAGATTGTCAGCAGGTTAGCTGCCATTAGTTAAGTAGAGTCTATCCTGACTTCACTTTTATTTAACAATCTATTTGGTGGCTATTGCAATATACCAATCTAACAAAAACTCGGCCAGTGACTAATGAAACCAGTGTTTATGTCACTATAGGTATATAATAATGATGTTACCCTTGAAAGACATTTGCCTCATATAACAACAGCTCCATAAGCACTGACTCCAGAATAGGATTTTTTACAATGTGTATGAAATAATACTTTAATTTTTTTCAATCAAGTTCACTGTTTCTTTAACCTACAACTATACAAACATCATTTTTGTAGCTATTATTGACAAACATTGACAAAAATCTCTCAAAGTCATTTTTTTTAAAATAACTGGGAAAAATGGAGCCTGCAGATTCCTAGCAAATTCCTAGCAATGGAAAACTTTTAACTCCATCTAGAAGTTATTTTTAAAAGTTGAAAGTGGGGTGGGTCATTTTCGCACCACTCGTTCATATCAACTCTTTGAGAGTTTATTTAATACTGATTATGACAGCTGCAACTTTGTAAAAAAAAATCGCACAACTCAGGTTTTATGAAAAGATATGAAGGTTGATTTTAGGGTTAAGGGCAGGATTAAGGATTGTATATTTTCTTACTTCATTCATATGAATTCAAATGTAATCCAACCTCACTCTTTCAAATCCATCCAGACTGGTGGAATAATCCCGATATTGAAGAATCTTAGTCTCTGAAGTTTGAGCATCTCTACTGTACTTCTATACTGAACTTGTAGAAATACACTGAAAAGAAAAAAAAAAACAACAAATCACTGCTGAAAAAGATTGAGGAGAATGATCCAATGAACCCTTCAGGAAGAAAGTGTGATCCCAGCACTTTTCAATGTCATTTTGACGCCATGCCACTTAAACGGGATGAAAAAGAATCAATATTTGATTATAAAATGTATATTCCTTATCTCTCTTCTAGCTATCCAGAGAAAATCTTGTTATCTGTAAATGTCTAACCTTGGCAAGGTTGTAGCGGATTATCAACTGGTCAGCAGTGCTGTTATTTTCCTTATGATTCATCAGTTGTGTAGAATGTTGTGGTACATTTTTTATTCTGTCTCAAAGATGCTGCAGCAATACAGGTAACTGGTGAACGATCCTAAAGACCCGACGACCCCAATAACACACTTTTATGTATTTCAGTAAAGATATGTTACATCTTAGCAACCATGTGATGACTCATTCAAACCTGTTAGACAAAGAAATAAATTAGAGTTATATGAAATCATCGGTCTAATTTGCAACCACCAGCTTCATTTATTATACCCCTGAGCTTAACTCAGCTGACTGGCTAACAATCTGTTTCAAGGTTTGTGTAAGTAATTTTCTCCAGGCTTCTCTCCACGTCAGTCCACCAAGGCCTTTCTCCTTGCACGCTATCAGTATGTTTAACCTCTGAAATTAAGAACGCAATTACAATTACACAAAAGAGGAGACGGTGCCTCATTCTCCTCAGGCTGCCATTATGGACATTATGGTAATTAGCTGACAGAAGGTCAAAGGCAATGTGTGTAAAAGTAATCAGTGCCACACACTTCCTGCATTCCAAATGCTGGGATGAAAGGGCGAGGTTTGGTGAGTTTATTAGCGAAGAGAAAAAAAAAATCAGCTTTTCTCACATTACAGAGGAAATCTGGTGGAGGGAGTTCAGACATTTGCTATTTTAAGGAGCGTCTGTGAGGACGAGATAGGGAAAGGTTCACAACTGGGTCGTTTATTTATTTATTTATTTATTTTTGCTTCTCCACATGCCAGCTGTATTCATGTTTCGTCTCTCTGTCCTTCCGTGACAATTGTTGAGGAAGTTTTGATGTGTTTTTCTTTCATGGGAATTTATGCAGCTGGCTTTGTCTCAAGAATGTGTCAAATGCAATTTGATTTGGTGCCCTGGAAAAAAAAAATTTATAATTAAAAAAACCAAAAAGTAATTATTAGAATGTAATCCATCATTGGTTTGTCACAAATATTTAGTTGAAGTCATTTGCATTTTGTTTTCAGACCATTCTGAAAAAGTTCACAAATGAAACAAAGTTCAAACAACAGCAACTCCAGCACTGTTTCCAGACTCGCTGCTAAACAACTACATCAAAATTACACAACTTATTACAGAATAGCTCTATAATGTAAGTTTAATTTAATCTGTTAGTTCTGTTAATACTGGAGATTTGACTTTATATTGTTTACATTGTTGTGGCTGATTCCATGACTGGCATGCCATTTAGCACTTGTATCTCTTAAAAATTAAACTTAGCGTTTTATCATTTTTCTTTTATTCCCCCCCCCACCCCACCCCCTCCACACACACACACACACACACACACACACACCCTCTCAAAATGGCTGCATTCTCTCTTAAATGAGTAACAGAGTTGAGGTTTTTAAGCATAGAATTAGCAAATACACAAAATCTGCTTAACTAGCATCCATGATAATAGAATGAGGTCATTAAGGGCATTCTAATTATTTACTTAAATATTATTATTTTAAAAATAATTATATACTTTTTATTTACTATTTATTTTAATTTACTGTTTAATTTTTACCATTTTAGTTAGTATTTATTTACTATTTTCTATTTTTGATATAATATTTAATATTAATTAATTTATTTAATTAGTTAATGTACTAGTTATTGATCTGCAACTTGCACAAAGGTAGTTGGGAAGTACACAGTAACTGTTTAATTTTTTTTTTAAATGTTTTTTACCTTTAGATCCATATTTGTACAGTTGGGGTCATAAGTTTACATATGCCTTGCAGAATCTGCAAAATGTTAATAGTTAAAAAAAATAAGAGGGATCATAAAAAAATATATATTTAGTTCTGCCCTGAATATGCTATTTCACATAACAGATGTTTACATATAGTCCACAAGACACAATATTAACTGAATGTACACAAAGGAACCAGTTCAAAAGTTTACATACACTTGGTTCTTAATACTGTGTGTTGTTACCTGGATGATCAACGACTGTTTTTATGTTTTGTAATAGTTGTTCATAAGTCCCTTGTTTGTACTGAGTATTTAAACTGTCCACTGTTCTTCAGGAAAATCCTCCAGGTCCTGCACATTCTTTGCTTTTCCAGCATCTTCTGCATATTTGCCCCTTTGCAACAGTGGCTATATGATGTTGAGATCCATCTCTTCACACTGAGGACAACTGAGGGACTCGAACACGACTATTACTAAAGGTTCAAACATTCACCGATGCTCAAGAAGGCAACACAATACATTAAGAGCCAGGGGGGTGTAAATTTTTGAACAGGATGTTCGTGTAAATTGTTATTATTTTGTCTTCTGGGAAACATAAAAAATATCTTATGTAGCTTCTGAAGGGCAGTACTAAATAAAAAAATAAGATCTTTAAACAAAATAATGACAATTTACAATAGTTTTACATTTTACAACAATTTACACAATAATACTTTTGATGATGAGTCCCTCAGTTGTCCTCAGTGTGAAAAGATGGATCTCAACATCTTATAGCCAGTGTTGGAATGGAATTACGTTTGTGTAAATTCAGTTATTATTGTGTCTTGTGGACTATATGTAAAACATATGTGAAATAGCTTATTCAGGGCAGTACTAAATAAAAAAATGCAATTTGTATGATCCCTCTTATTATTATTATTATTATTATTATTATTATTATTATTTTTCAAATTAACATTTTGCAGATTCTGCAAGGCGTATGTAAACTTATGACCCCAACTGTAAATGTAATATCAGAGGGACACAAATGGCACCACAGTATCAAACATCAATAATGATGATATTGCTCTTCCTTAATTTCTCTTAAAACCTCACTGTAATTTCCCTGAGCTTTATTTCCACTGTATCTCTACACAGAAGCTGCTTGGATTATATGGTTCTCCTTCCTGGAGTAATTTGTAACATGCTTTTTATTTAAGTCCCCTGTTTATTATTTGGGTTATATGAGCTCACTCCTCCTTGAATGCATCCTTAGATGCATCCTTGTGTAGCACTGACGACGGTAAATCAGCTAAATGATACTGAGTAATTATACCTGTTCATTCCATGCTTTTTTTTTACTAGAATTTCCTCTCTCACATGCTTTTTTGTGTGCTTCATTTTTATCCCGGTTAATCCCGGTTAGGATCACAGTGGATCCTGAATCTATCTGTAACACTGGACACAAGGCAAGAATACACCATGTATCAGCCACTAGTGCATCACAAGATCTTTCTCTCTTTCTCTCTCTCTCGCAAACACACACACACACACACACACACACACATTTCCATGCTTATTCGCACCTAGCAGCATGTGTTGGGAGGACAGAGGAAACTGAAGTACCTGGAGGAAACCTGGAAGAAACACACACTAGAGATACTTGTGTCATATTTATGTCATAAACCTAGGTTGTCCTTAATGGTGGCTCTAAATCATTGGCAGCTCCATCCTGAGACAACTTCAGAAAATTCACTCAGTTTTTCTCCACAGAGTAGCTGAAGGCTAGTTCATATTTGAGACACCAGCTAACATTTGCAGCATCTGTCTAGTGAACAATCTTTTCCTTTGAGACTATGGGGGCCAAATCCACATCTGTCTTGTCTGAAATGAACAGCACCGAGCGGTCAATGCATTTGCATAATGTTATAATCATGATGGGAAGGGGATTAAAGTGTGCTAGCATAATACCTTATAAAAATACATTTCATTACCTACAGCAATTATTATTATTATTATTATTATTATTATTATTATTATTATTATTATTATTATTATTGTAAATATATATTTTAAACATTAATATTCACCATTTGATATTTATAAGATGCAATAATAATAATAATAATCTTTCTTCTTGGGGGGCATGGTGGCTTAGTGGTTAGCATGCTTGCCTCGCACCTCCGGGGTTGGGGGTTTGATTCCCACCTCTGCCCTGTGTGCATGCTGTGCAGTATCCCCATGCTGTGGGGGTTTCCTCCCCCAGTCCAAAGATATGCATTGTAGGCTGACTGGCATCTCTAAATTGTCTGGTGTGTGTGTGTGTGTGTGCGCCCTGCAATGGGTTGGCACCCTGTTCAGGGTGTCCACTGCCTTGTGCCCTGAGTCCCCTGGGATGTGACCCTGTGTAGGATAAGCAGTACAGAAAATGGATGGATCTTTCTTCTTCTAAATAATACATAACAATAAACAACCCTTGTGCTTAGATGTGGCTATTTTAGTACTTATTGCTGTGCAGTTCATAGCTGATCTTGGATAAATGCACCTGCACAATGAATAATTGAATAATAGCAAGGTTAAATGCAATTCTGAAATAACAAACAGAGGAGAACCCAAGAGAGCACACCAACATGCAATAGCAATCCATCCAATGTGTTCAGTGATCTGTATGAATGAAATGTGTTTTGTTAATAACATTTATAAATTGACTGTATAAACTGATGCATGCTTTCTGAATGCAGAACTAATGCTTAGCTTTCCTTAATAATGCTCTAAACAGATATGACTGTAACTAGAGGATGAAAAAAACACAAAAACTGAACGCATTTTCTGATATTTCTTAATGTATTGAGACATTAGGGGTGACAACAGAACTGTGTGCACACTGTGTTGCCAGATATACAGCTATAAATACAGCAATAAACTGCATCTCAGTGTATAATTACTGACTATAAGCTTAACATGCAACGTACTGTATATGTGAAGTTCCAGGAAGCTCATGAAGAAGATGAGGACTATAAGCCTCCCACAGTAAAATACAATCCTGTTTAATGAATTACCATGACAGCCTCAATCATAATCCTGAGGTATGAGTATATAATTATAGTCAGAAAAAAATCTACAACGTGCTAATGTTATCATAAGTGTTGGATTATGACAGCACTCCCCAATGTTCACTGTGCAGTTAGGGTACTTGCAGACAATGTGTGTAATAAACAAACACAAACAAACTAACTAACTAACTAACTAAATAAATAAATACATAAATAAGCCAAAAGCACTGAACCTTAACCTGGAACTGTCCAGATAAAAGAATGAGGCTCTGCATATTCTCCATATGTCCCATTAGCATTACAGATCCTCTGAGGCTGAATAATGCATCATCGTTGCTATATAGTGAATATGAATTTGTGCTATCACCAGCATACTGTAATATAACTTAATCAGCCAGATTAAAAGTGCAGTAAAGTAGGGCATAGTTTGTGAACAACATCATTTCTGGGCATTGCCTTAGAGACTATGCAGCACATATTAATCTTTATTAAGCGATCAAAAAAAAAACAAAAAAAACATTCATCCACCATGAATGCATTGTGATGCAAAGCCCATTTGCATACAGTGTAACATTGATATTAGTTACAGTCCAGTGTTTTCAAGGTGTGCAGGTGAGTGAAGTCAGCAGCATGCGAGGGGGAAATGTTTGACCTGTGCTACCGTCACTAACATCTCTCTCTTAATTGCGGTTATTTGGCATTGTGGAATATTGATGGAACTGGAGGGTGAGATTGGCAGCTGCATGAATCGTTATTAGCCTGCCTGTTGGTGCAGGGGCAGGAGGGTTCGATAGGCAGAGCCCAGGCAACAGCAGGCCCCTGGGGAGCCTGGGTTCTCTCAGACAAGAGATAATTACCAATCTGAGGAGCAGCAGCAGAGACACAATGCAACAATGCAGCTCAACACACACACACACACACACACAGCTTTCACATGGTGAAAAGGACCATTCAGAGGTGTAAGATTTACAGTATGCAGGATGCATGTGAATGTAATCATGCTGAAGTGCACTAGCATGTTAAATAATCTATGATATCTAGGATATAAATAATTTAAATAACAAACACGTTTGATGATCTGTGGTCTTTTCATTAGGCAAGTTCCCATTTCTCAGTGGTAATTTCTCACCATGGAATGTTAGGCATGTTCATTTAAAAGGTATATTCGAACACAAAGCCTCATATATATTCACGCTCATATTCGACTTTTTTTTTTTTCCTGTCTGCATGCCTGTCTAGTCTCTCGCACAAATCAGCCTCTTCCAAAAGCCTCGACTCTGAATAATAGCTCTTAATAATCGCATTTGTCAGGCATGCATGCCCTCTGCTTAGACTCCCTAAATCAGGCACATTTGAGGGAGATTTTCATCCCAGTCTGTCAAAAAAAAAAGCTTCTGCAATTCCAACGTCCACCAATTTGAGCATCAGGAAAGCAGTTAAAGCTCTCTCATACATGCATACATGCATGACTTGTCTTCCTACAAAAATAGTAAACAAAGTGCTTTTATTCCTCTTTTATATGCTAATGCAGAATAACAAAATGTTACATTAGCAGCAGTCACAGTACTCATATGTTGTGTATAATTACAAAAGTTCTATCATAAATAATCACCTCATATTAGTTTAGCTCAAAGGAAAAGCTTCTTTCAGTTTGATAGCTTGAGATTTGTTCTTAGTGTCTGTTGTAATTGAACCTGCTGCCTTTAATTGCTGACATTTAATCAATAAATGCAAATGACAGTGGAGACCTATTATTTGTGAATTCATCAATCTTGTGCGACAGAGTGCAAGCTTGTAAGATAATTGTGTAGCATACGGTTCTGAGTAAAGGTCAAAAAGTAGTTTGCTCATAGGATCAGTAGCAGGATTTGTGGCTTCAACTGGCAGACAGCCAAAGTGCACACATACTTTATCACCAAAACAACTTTCTTCTGTTTCCTTAATCCTATATCATAGTTCAAATAGAATATAATAGAATTTTATAGTGTCTTTTACAATACCAATTGCCTTAGAGCAGGCTTACAGACATCATGGTCAGTGCTAGTGAGTAAATTAAAAGTGACAGTGGCAGCTATGACAGGGAGAAAACATTTTGGGCAAAACTCGGAATCATATCAGACTGTCTAGGAACCCTTTATAGGAATAGGGATGTCAGCATGGTTATTGATAAGAATAAAAATATAACAGTAATTACTTGAATAAGTATACTGTAGGACATGGTTGGTGAAGTCTGCAGTTAATAAAGAAATAGGAAGCAGGAGCTTGTTGGACTCAGGATGGGAGCAGGAGCCTGAGGCTATCAAGATAGCAGGAATAGGAGATTGTAGGCATCAGGAAGGGAGAAGGAGCCTGTGGCCACCAAGATGGCAGGAATAGGAGATTGTTGGCATCAGGAAGGGAGAAGGCAGGAATAGGAGATTGTAGGAATGAGGAAGGGAGGGAGAACCTGTGGCCACTAAGATGGCAGGAATAGGAGATTTTTGGCATCAGGAAGAGACATGGCAGGAATAGGAGACTGTAGGAATGAGGAAGGGAGGAGGAGCCTGTGGCCCACCAAGATGGCAGGAATAGGGGATTGTAGGCATCAGGAATGGAGAAGGAGCCTGTGGCCACCAAGATGGCAGGAATAAGAGACTGTAGGCATCAGGAAGGGAGAATGAGGTTGTAGCTGCCAGGACAGCAGGAATAGAACTTTGTTGGTCTCAGGATGGGAAAAGGAGCTTGAGGCTTCCAGGATGGAAAGAATAGGAGCTTGTTGGTTTCAGGATGTGAGCAGGAGTCCATAGTCAACAGAACCCAATAATAGGAGCATGTAGGCATCAGAATGGGAGCAGGAGCCTATGGTCTTAAGGAAGGCAAAAATAGGGGATTGTACGCAACAAGCAAAACAAAATCAGGAAGTGCAGGCAACCAGGATACAAATGCACAAAGGCTAATAATAAACATATTAAGAAATAACTAGGTCCTCAGAATAGCACATATGAAATAACTAAGACAGCAAGAAGCAAGAACATGCAATGACCTAGAACACAAACCAGAAATATATACACAACATTATTCATGATCGACACATGATGATAACGCACCAAACCCAATCAACTAGAAGAGGAGGAGAAAACAATTGCAAAAGCACATGGAAAACTAAGAACATGACACGCAAGCAGCACTCGACATGCTGTGATGTGATGTGCGCTAAGAGAGGGAATTAATAACATGACTCTAAGACAAAGGCAAATGTGTATTCCATATTGAACAAACTCAGCTGATTGCATATGAATGGAGTAGAGACTGCAACAAAATTTTTCACCAAACTGTCTCATGATGCATCACCTCTACCACGCTAACTCTGCAAAGTCAGTTGCATGATTAGCTAAGCAGATAGTCCTTAGAATTTTAGAGAGTGTACCTGAATCATGAAGAGTGATAGAAAAACAATTTCTTCCTAAGTTTAGGAGGCAAAAAAGGAAAATGAATGGAGTACCTTCTATAGTTTATGCTGTTCATGCTGTCTTACTAAAACACCTGCACTCAGGGACAATAGACGGCATTGTGGATTATAAAATGCTAAGAGAATGCTAAGATACTGGCAGAAAAGCTGTTTAGCTTTATGTCATATCAAGATTTTATACTTTATATAAAATAGTTAGCCAATCTAGATTATAGAAGAGAATCCTAATGGCCTTGAACTAGTTCATGTAAGAATCCCAGGTGATGAATTTAGGGCTAATGAAGTATGTTGATGGGTATGGCTCGACATCCAGCTAAGAGTACATTACATCGGGATTAAAACATGACAGGATGTTTTATACCACACTGGAGTCATGTTACTGAGAAACTGCAACATCCTCTGTCCGGAAGACTTTTCCTTGGTGTAAAACTTATAGGAAGAGGTTTACCTCTGACTGTTACAAAGCACTGTAATAAATGTTAAATAAATATGTATCTTCTCACCAGGGGCAGCTGGTATCAATGAACCAGAAGGGATAATACCCCCTGTGTTTTAAAGATTAAAAAAATCAATATAAGGTTTCATTTTTGTCATCCACATAAGACTATTTGCAGGTAACAAATGTCTTAAGGCAGATTATTTTGGACAGAAGGATAGGAAGCGACATTGAGGGCTAGGCCTACTGATCCCACCACTAATGAGTAGATTCATGCAG